TACAACATTGACGGGTAAGGTCTTCACTTGACTATTTATGAAGCAGTTTCTTCTATATAGTCTAATCTAACGAATGACTCGCAGGCAGAAGAACTCGAAAGAATTCTCGGTCGATCCCAGGCGAAAGGCTGATGCATGCACCATTCAATTCAACAGGGCTATACAAATTTATACAAATTCTAAATAAAAACAATAGCTCCCCTTCTGATGAAGACGTGACGACACATAGCTGATGTTTCGACTGAAGCAGTTTTTCTATCACCTTTCTTGCGCCTAAAAACTGCTCTTGCCCTGGCCAGCGCAAACAGTATTAGGTTGAGTCTCTTGTTCGTTAACTGGAAAATCTCTACATTGTTGAAGTGACAAATTTCTCGAACTAGTACAATTGGCGTTCATTTCAACCGGGGTATCCCGAGAGAAAGGCGTGCTGAATTCTCTGACCAGTGTGAACTTACAATTTTCATGCAGTTTCCCGATTTATGAAGTGGAGTCAGCCAGAACTTGCATCAATTCCAGATAGATCACATCTGTTTCACAACTATTAAGGCAGGCTTACTGGCCATTCCGATTTCTCCAACTTTCCAAAAATGCATATCAAGTTGGAGGAGACGGCAGGAACAGTAGTAATCATACCGCGCCCGCTGCGCCCAGCGAATTCTGTGACAGTACGCGCTGCAATTTCAGACGGTGCACGTACATTAGGGAATGAGAGGATAGGTGTATTTGGCCATCGGAGCGAAATGGTCGAATTCTCGGTCCTACCTGTTCGAAATACGCTACAGCGCTAATCATGGCACAAAATGAAGGTAGGTAGAAAATCAGGGCACATCGTTGTTGGGGAATCCCCAATAGGGGGGTCGTATTTGGGCTGAGAAAAATTTATTTTGATAGTTGATTTTTCTCGCTTCATGGACGTTGTAAAGGGAGGGAGGGGGTCGTATTTACGTTTTGGCGTTGTGGGAGTGGCGGTTGACTTTTGGTGATTTTCCTGTTTCACGTACTATATGCCCCCCCCCGCTCGACAGCAAAATTTTTGGTAAAAAGTAGGGAAGTTTTCGGGAAATTTTGGAAAAAAGGGGCAGGAAGTTGGGGAAAATCTGATTGTAGAGGGGGTCGTATTGTCTCGCGGCTTTTCCTGTTTCACATGTGCTATTTACCCCCCGCTCGACGGCTCGATTCGATGAGGAAGGACAGAGGGCTGGGGGGGTCGTACCAAAAAAAGGGGGGGGTCGTCTAGAGTCGACTGAAATTCCCAACCAATGATGTGCCCTGTAAAAAATGAAGGAAAAAACCCGACAAAGTCATAGGAAGTTCGGGTAACTGAGGAAGTTTGAAGGCAGGATGGGGATAGGGAAGGATCAGAGGAGGAAAGTTCGGGGGAAGGGAAGGAAGTTTTTCCCAATGGCAGAACGTCTCCTCATGTCAGAACGTGCACTGGGTGAACTTCATATGATGCGGCTTCAGCAGTATATAGAATGCGCTTCAAACAGCGATAGAAATATTCGCTGAGTCGAGGTTGATCAAGGAAGCACGAGTGCCAAGTTGTGCAGAACTTCTTCGATTCTGTACTAGAAAAGTTGATTGAAGCTGAAGGGTCCTACTTTTTCTTCTCAATGCTTTCAGCGGTTCCCTTGAAAAACACTCAGGAGTTCTTTGGTAAAAATGCTAAGCAAAGGGTAGCGTACATCTCTGGAAAGCATGAGATGCGGGTTCAGAGCCCGACTGAGGCCAAGCTTTTGCTCATAACTTAGCATTCTGGCCATAACACTCGTAGCGCGAACTGCGCCACTGAATGGCAGTTGCAATAGAGCTACTTCAGAAGCTGAGAAGTTCTTTCCCCAACACTTCAGATATCGAGAGGCCCAGCTCGATCTTAGTTTTATGTTTCGCTCCTTGTCGTCTCTCGTCACCTACTTGCGCTATCCTATTGTGATAGCTATGTTTGCCCATTTAGCGTGGTCAACGTGGAACAAAACCGTCAGAACAAACGCATTTACTCGAAGTCAAACAGTGGCTGCGACACGATTAGAACATGCCCGGAAAGGGTCGGTCTTGTTCATTCAGGCTGCGAGTCAGGCAGTAATTTTGAGAGTAGTGGTGTACATAAATGAAGGTTACGAAATTGATGTGGGGGTCAGATATGGAATGCATTTGGACTGAAGTGAGGAAAAGAAGTTCAGCTGGCAGTACTTCACGGGACGTTTAAAGGTTCCACTCCCTCCCGTGGAAGAAGACAGTTTCCGAGCTCCTAGTCTAACATTGAAATTTCCCCGCACAGCAGGCAGAAGCTCAATGCAGGAAAGCGCTTGTTGCACTGGACACACTGTCCACTCCGCCCCCGGTCGGACACTTGAACTGCTCCCGTCCGGCCGATAATCCCAACGTTCAGCAGCAGTGCAACGAAGAAAGCAATCTGCTCACAACTAGCTTTCTCATCCTTATTCAATTCCGTCCTCTCTAGTGCCATCTGAAGGATTCTACCTGGAAATGTCATAATAGCCTTGGGATATCAATCATAGACCCTTTCGTATGGAATTCGAGACTGAACCTTCGCCACAGGGTGCCAGCTATTATTTCACCACAGCAGATGTTCGACCAGTTACACCATCATCTGATGGGGAAGAGCCATCCACTGCAAGTGAGCCGATCTCTGAGGATACTGCCTTCCCGCAGAAGCACTCACGCAATCAGACTTCGTATGTTCATTGCGACTTTCTCCTCCAATTTTTTGAATATGCTTATCCGCTCTGTAACAATTACAAACTATTCAATGAAATCGTTTTTGTTTTCAATTTTTATTATTTTTATTATGAATTTTTATATATATATTTGTAGAAGTATTGCTATCATTGTTACTATTATTTTTATTATTATTCGTGCTGTCCCGGAGCCTCATTGCAATCTGAATGTGAGACACTTGAAAGAGGCACAAAATTTATTGCAAAAAACTCCAAAGATCCAGAAGAATCCAAAAGTTTTTGCAAAAATTTTTATTAATTTTATTTCTTTCTTTCGGAATATTTCGGTGCTGAGCACCTTCTTCAGCGATCGAATAATGCAGTTAGCAGCCCCCAATTGAAACCTGGACCTTTGCCTTCAATATTAAGCCTCCAAACGAGATCTGGACCCTCACTCCCTTGATATGCTGCCTCCAATCGACATCTGCCTTCTACTGCGCCTCGAAGTGTTGACTGAATTTGCTATTATTATTATTTTTTATTTTTATTTTTATATTTATAAGAAACAATATTTTTTATGTTTATTTTCTTATTATTTTTTGCTGCATTTCTATTACGGTTCCTCCCTAACGTATGATATCTTTCTCTGATGGCCACGGCAACCTGCACTAAATTTAATTCATTAATGAAACTGAAGCTCTCACGGAGGGTGAATGTACTCCTAGTTGCTTAAATCCTCCAGAATCGGGGCAGTTTTTCTACAGACTCTTTCCCGAAAAAAGATCCAGCTAATAGCTTGCCCCCAAATTCTGAATACATCCGCCTGAAGTCATTGCTCAAACCTGGATTTGTTCTTTTTTAGTCTTGAGAAAAACGGCCAAAGAGGGGTACCGTAGACTAGAATTGAGTTGAAACTAGATATTACTACATTATTGATATTCATAGACAGAAATCTGTTATTATACTCCTGTTATATGTAATATTCTGCCTGTTAACTTAGAAATTAGTTTCATATTTATATATTGATAATATTATGCAATATACAAAACAATTCAGACGTTATTTATTATTTGCTCATTCAAAGTGGTATAACTAATAGAAAGTGTCACGTCTTTGAGCTATACGTTTTTTTTTCTATTTTTTGTGATCCTTGAAAAATGTGATACAGTCTAGTAACTACCAGAGAGTCTGGCTCAGCGATGACGTCAGAAGTTCATTTTCCTGGAATTTTCACAGAGTTTGATATTTGGCATATTGTCCGCGTTAGCGACAATCTTGAACATTCGATCAGTTCAATGACAGACTCGTTATTATAGAATTCCGATTTTTTTCCTCAATCCTAAATTTTGTTTCTCGCATTTCGTTTTGGATGTATGTATATTCTTGGAATGTCCTTACTAACTGAATTTTTGTTGCGAAGTCACCCGCTACCGTCTTCTCTGAGGTCGCAGCTGTAATCGCTAGCAATGTTGCTTGCTTCCGAGGTGCTTACTTTTTTGAACGCGCGTAAAAGCGAAACAAAAGGGCGTACTGCTTCTAATAGTATGACCCGTTACGTTGGACTTGATATCCTGCTGACGAATTCTGAAGAAGAAGGCAGATCAAAAACGCAAAAAGGTTTTGGTTGTCATTTTGAAAGAAGAAAGTTTGAAAGAAGAAGAAGTATCCAAGTCTGATCATCTTTTTTTCATGAAAAAAGATGATCAGATTTGGATACTGTTGAGTAGGACAAGTCGACATCAAATGTGTGCATTTTTCATGAAAAAAAAATCATCAGACTTGTCTTACTCAACAGAATTCGGCGTAGTTCGGCATGGTGGGGGCACCGAACGGCGCTCAGCCGAGCTTGTACAGATCATCTTGCAGAGACCTGCAAATTTCTACGCAGTTTCACAGAAGTTCACAAGTCTGAGAAAGGCGAGACCTGTTAGTAAACATGAACGAACAAAATGAATTAGCAAAAGTGCTAAATGCCCCTCCAAACCAATAATAAGCGCCGTAATTTTATATGGTATTCATATAGCTACAGGCTCTTGCTTTGCTTGACGGTTAGTCTCCAAGGGATAAGCACATAGTCGAACGACTTTTACGCCTCTTGTGTTGTATCCAAGCGAAAAGCATTGTTGTCGGTGGAGATTATTTCTCGCCGACAACGGTATTTCTCGCCGACAAGGGCGAATCGGTTGTGTGACGACTTCAGAGCTGCTAATACCGTAGAGAGCTTGGGAAGCCTCCTCGTATCGTATTGTTCACCTAGCTGCTTATTCTTATTGTTTCAGGACTGTCGCCGATCAGAAAGCATGGGACGTCTTTCGACTACTGCCACCGAAACCCGACAAGATTGGTTACGGTAAGACTACATTCCACAATTTTCTAGGGCGTGGAACTACGAAGACAGGGAACAGAAACCAAGAGACCCAGAGAGAGCCCTGACTAACCTTTCCTGAAGTTTGAATGGAGGGGAACTAGGGGAAATCCTGAAGGGGAATCAAGCACAGAAGCGGTCGATAGCTTCTGTTTACATTAGGCGATCGATTGGGTAGCACTCGAAAAAGACATTTTCTTTCCGAGACGGCGTAAGAATGACTCAACGGCGGTTTCCGGACCGATCGGGAGGAATTTTCCGGTTTGGATGCTGTCTTTGGTTTGGGGTAAGCGAGTGAGGAATATTCTTGAGCACTTCAAACGTTTTCCTAAGGGAATTCGAAAGTATCCTTAGCTCTTCGTATCGATTAATTGATACTGCAATACTTGAGTTTTGAAATTTCTCGAGAATCTGGCGACTATCTACTATTTGAGACCGTATTTTTCGGAGACTGGATGGACTCTCGAATTGGGTTGGAAAACCGCTCTCGGGGTAACTTGACCCACTGGGCACAAATATCGTACATCTTTAAGCAAAAACAAGACTGACCCCCTAACGCGGACAGTGACCGTGCACAAAATTTGCCTGAGCTCTAACACACGGAGGGGCAATTTTATATTAACGCTTATCCCCTCCGCATATCACATTCGCTAGTTGTGCAGACACTATCCTTGGCGCTTGGGCTGTTTAGGAGTGAAGCTACTGCCGGAGACAATTTTCTAGCCAAAATTGCTCACGTTGTGACTTAATAAATTAGATTTAATTCTGTAATGATCGTGAAGGAGTACCTAATGCCAAAAGGAATCGAGAGGGATGAAAATAAGTGCTTCTACTACTTACGAGCTCGTCAGTGCTCTAACTGCTCAGAGCTCATCACACGTGATGGTTTATCAACGAAGGGTAGGGGAGGGGATGTCATAAAGTTGGGTTATTGAATGCGATGTGGCTTATACAATGACTTCCGGGGGCTAGCCAATGTACAATAGAATAAATTAAAATGAAAATGTAATTCTTAAGAAATTCTTTGCATTTGTTTCAAAGCTGAAAATTTTTTCAAAGTTACTTTTGAAGGCTGATTACTTTATCATTTTTGGTAGTTGGGTCAGTCTAAAGAAGTAGTTCAATTTCCGTTCGGCAAGTGCCCTGAGACGGGTAAGTGAAAGTCTTCCTCCTCCCTCTGTGCTCTTCAGGTAGCTCTTCAAGTAGCAAGGAGGGAAATTCTTTGTAAAAGTTTCATTATGTTTTTATAGTAGCAATATAAACATGTGCAAGTTAGTGTTCTTATCCTCCCAGACGAATCTGGTACTAACTTACCGTTCCCGGAGAGAAGAAGGCTTGGTTGGCCTGGCGGAAGTCGACCGGGATTTGAGCCAAGGACCGTGCGGGTGGTGAGCGCGTCACCTGTCACTACACCAAGTCCTGTTCAGGAGAGGGGAGGGGAGGTAACGATCATTGAAATACTACTCGAAGAATTGTTTCATATGACCAGCGCTGGTACTGCACTCGCCCCAGAAAAGCGTGGGTTTTGGTAAGACCTTTGGCGCATAATTCAGCATTCTTGTTGATAACCACATTATAAAGAAACTGCTCTAGCTCCTATTTTCCTAGAATAGCTCTTAATCTACAGAGCTTGGGAAGGCCCTTGTTTCCACTTCTTAGTAGGCGTAAAATAGGAAGTAACCAAAAATTCACTCCCAGATTTAATGAAAGGGCATCGAAAAGCTACACCCAAGGATCAAATCAGAAGTGTTGTCCGCAGCATAAATGATTTACAATTGTTGCTTCTGTTCATCGATACCTTTTATACAGTCGCTACTAGTATAAGACAAGCTCCTTTGCAGGCTTTTGGCACGAAGCCAGTCTCCAGGTTCTAAAACTATGTACATTTGTAGTGTTATTCATATTGACTCTCGGCTCTGCCGTTGTCGCCAAGGTATGTGACACCCTCCCTCCTTTCCAATTCTTTTCTGTCAAGCTATATTTTCAGAGTTCATTTCTTCTCATGACATCGGCGATTGGCTGGGGTGGCATGAATATGACCATTTGCCGAGATAAAATACCAGGTATGCCCTTCTATTGGCTACGGTATTTCCCACAACAGGCGTTTGCTGTTTCAGAATCGCCCCTGAACACCGTGTTTATCACAAACCGGCTGGTAGTCAAGTGGGTTTGGGCGACGTTCATTCGCCCTTTCCGCTCCCGAGGCATTCTGCTTCATTCGGTCGCTTCATCGAACGCTGTTCAAAAATGTAAAACGGCCAACTTTGATCCAGTTTGCAGTGGTGGGAACATCATTTTTTAATTATCGTTGACATTCTATTATAATAATCTGGTTTGAACGTCATGGATGGTTAGCGTGCGGTCGCGAGGCGTTGCATGAATAGGAGACCCAAAAGCTCCAAGTGTCTTCTTCCCGAGATGTAAAAACGGGGATGATTCTCAGGGAACCGATCAATATCTGCCCTCCCCCCTACAGGGCATGTCCCACCGTTGGGGAAAATTTTGTAAAGTACGACCCCCCCCCCGTTACAGCGATCATAAGTGACCCCTCTCGCTGAAGATCCCCAACATCTGCTTGGCTTCGGTTACACTTTTTAATGTCCTCAATTAGGAACAATCTTATCGGCACATTCCATTTTCGGCGAATGGGCGGGCCTATGTGCAAGTTATATCTTCCGAATCGGCAAACCTATCCTTTTTAGTGTATTAGCAAGGAAGGACGCAACAACGGAAGACGCGATAGCAGGACAGACTCCACCCATTCGACAAGCATAGAGTGCTCGTGTAGAAAAGAGCAAAACTGAACAGGAGCAATCTCAGCCGTCCCTGTCTATCTCGCGATACATTGTATGAAGTTGCCGCCGCGCGACCGCTCGCCTATGTGACCTATTAAGTGGACGACCTGGTAGAGGAGAATCGTCCTATGGCTTCCCATTGATGTGTTTTATTTATAGGTGTTTTTCGTTGAGACGCTTCATGCGATTGGTGTGGGAATCCTCGTATTCCGCATTTTCCCCGATCTTGATGCTGTCACAGGTGAGGAACCCCTTTCTACCTCCCAGTACCCCTGTAACAGCGGACTGTGCTTCATACCGGCGATTCTTTCGTTACTAAGTCGTCGCCCCAGTAAAATCGCTCTCGTTCTTGTGATTATCGACATCGTTGCCATCGCAGCTCAAAGTTCCGGATTCTGGGCCTTTCCGGTACCTTTGCCTATTTTTTTTATTTTTTGTCATTTGTGGGTTCGACCGAAGTGCTAGAACAACGGGTTGGCACAGAAAAGCAGGACTGAGGACACCGGCTGGTCGGGGAGCACAGCAGTGGAACACCCAGCCGTGCCACAGATGTGAAGCAAAAACATTTCGGTTATTTCGCAAAATTTGTAAAAAAATTTAGAAGAGGGGTCATTTCTGATTTGTCAGTTGCAAGCACATTCCACTCTCGTCGAATGAGTGGAGCGGGTTCGCCGCTGTGCTTTCCTCATTGGTGTTGCTTTCGCTTCTAAGACGGTAAGACATATCGCCGCACCATGGTGAATAGCACAAAGGTAGGGCTGGCTCCGCCCTACGACAAGCGTGGAATGAGCCTTTTGCAGTCGAGAACCTTCATCCCACATCTTTTTCCATTTAAGAACTCTTCAGATGTTCATTCCGAGTCTCGAGAAGCACTCTGTGGCCATTCCGTGGTGCTTGGCCTTTATCTCGTTGGCCTGGTGGCAGAATTTTGTCCACAACGACTCTGTTTTTCCACCTATTCGAGCTATGGCCAGGTGGGATTTCTTCTCGGATTCTAATTTTTGGACCAATAAAGCCCGGTTTTGCTTCAGATTTGCATCACGACTGTCCGAAAGGCGATCGAAGACCTATGCAGTAGTGTCTCTGTGGAAGATCTGCATCTATCTTCTTTGCATGATCACTTTCATGTCGTCACGGTGAGTAAACAGAACTTTCTGTCTGATGTGTATCATCTTTTCCTGGATTCATTGGTTGAGCCCCGGGAAGGCTCATCCGTTCCGATTTCCGATTTTCGACATTTCTTTGCCGCAGTTCGTCTTTGTGGGGCACCAAGTTGTAATTAGCGAAGCTTGCACAGGTCGCCTCGTGAGGACATGTGAACCCTTGTAACCAGAGTGGTTCTCTTGTACCATTTCGCAGCTTCACAAGAATTAACAGGTCTCAACAAAGCTAGATCTGTTAGCTGATACGAACTAGCAGGAGGAACTAGAGGAAGTACGAAACCCCCTCCAAGCCGAATAGTGCCTCTTCTCCTATATGATTCTTTTTCTCCCATTTAGCTCAGGAACATAGTAACGGAGAATATTTTCAGAATGCATCTCAACGACCTGCTACAAAGAGATCCATTTGGCGAGAAACTGATCACTATTACCGGTCACAATCTTAATCAAACCCAAATCGATAAGTTCGTTGCCAGAATGAGCAAATACGGAGGGGACGGTAAGCACTTTCAGAAAATACTCTAATATTTCATTCTATCTCGAAAATATTTCCAATATTTCATTCTTCGAAAAATGAAAATGTAATATTTCCTGTGCTCCGTTGGAGGGATCTTATTTGCGTCTGATAGAAAAACAAGTTTGCCCATTTCTCGTTCGACGGTTTTTTTCCAATCTCACTGAATTGATTCTATTATTTATTTGCTGGTGCTGCAATGCCTACAGTCTTGTTCGCTGCGAATGATATGCATGTCAAGGGAGGGTTGGTATGGCCAAACCGCCAAAGCGCGCGCCAAACCGCTTTTTTTTCTTCATTTTTTTCTTTCGGCAAGCGACAAAACTATATCATATCGTTTGTGTCAGTCGTTTTCAACCAGCTGTTATCGCTCACTCGCCTCAACAACTGGTGGAGAATGCACTGGCAGCGTGCCAAACTCAGCCGCACTGACACGCCCCTTCCGCAGCCAACAAGACTGTATATAGATATTTTGAGCATGACAATTTTTCAATATTTCCTCTTACAAAAAAATTAGTGCTTTTCAGATTATGAAGACGTACCTCCTGCCCCAACAACAAGGAAACCAGTGATCATATCTGAGGTAATTTTTGTGATCCTAAAACGGATGACGACTTTATCAATTCATACCTGGAGGCAATGGGCACGAAGGGTGGGGGCTGACATTTATCGCCTGGCACGATGGTGCATGGGCTGCGAGAGGGCCTCTCCACCAATGACCTTCGCAGTAGCCGACCCCCCCCCCAGCAATCGTGCCCACTGCCTTGAAGTCTTTCAGTGCCAAGTCTGTCTTTAAGCCTTTCAGCTCATAGGATGGGCAAATTTAGATACATCATTTGGAGTTCCTCATAGGTTCGTCTTTCCCCTGCTATGAGCAAGGCGAAGATTGCGTGTGTAGTTTGTGTGACTCCTCCCATATGATTAGCAAGGACTGTGCCTTTAACTTGCATTTTGTTGAAGAATCACGATCCAAGCAATTGACAGGGCATGTGACGAAGAGTGGATTGAAGCGTGGGCAGATAGCCTTTCCCAGCAGTTGTTGCGGGATAAGGATGGCATCATTGGTGGAAAAGACCAACCTGGCTGTACCCCAATCGCTCCCCACTATATGTCCTATCATTTGCAGGGATCAAGTTCGCATTACTTGTTAACAGTGAACTTTTGTACTGATAGTTTTTGCGGCCCAACGTTCTGCAAATATTGTGCAATAATAAACTGATAGCATCCATAACTCATGGAGTCATTCCAATAAACTATTCCAGTTGGCACAAGAAGTCGACACAGGAGATTATCGTGGTGCACGGCTCAGGCGGCAGTCAGATTATGATGATGAGGAGGATTTGCCATCAGCATATAATGTAAGTTTTCAGGCCAGCTCATTCGCCCATTTTTCACCGTTGTCTTGGATTTGTCAGCAGTTTGAGGCCTCAGCAGATTTCATGCTGTATGCTGCTCTAAACATTTCACAAATTTTTTAAGGGGCATGGACTTCTCCGTTTCACTAAACGGTTACGTGACATCTTGAACTTTTGTGCATGGTCCTGTTACGAAACCCTGTGACGCAGACGGATAGAGGGCAGCGGCTGCCAAAGCATCGAAACGTGCAAAACATATATGCGAGCCAGGAAACAGGTTTTTTGAAGGGGAGGGGACCCCGGGGTGGGTGGGCTACTTAATTTCGTTAAAGACAATTATCGCGATCAAGTATTGCGGGCAATTGTACTCTGTCATGCACCAGTATTCCATAGTTAGCTTCTCAGTAGAAAAAGAAGCAGAAAAATCTTCGGGAACACCTTGAACCCAAACCTACCTTTAGCAGTGGGGGCGGGGCCTGGACGAGTGTGCCGGGCGTGGCTGCCAGAATTCGATGCGGCAGCCGCAATTGCGTCCCAACTTTCGAAATAGGATACTTTCGAACGTAAGGCAGCGTTCATACTTGTAGCGCTACAGCGTAGCGCTACAGCGCCGCTTCGCAACGTACTGCAATTTCCAACGATGGGATGATTAGAGTTGCTTACAGAGAAAATTGGGAAGGTTGCTGGAGTTTTCTTGAGAAATTGACAAGAAAAAAAAAGAAAAAGAAAGAAAATGACAACAAACCCCACTTGACAACAAATCTCCCTACCATTGGAAAAGCAAGCACTACATTCCATAAGCAAAAAAACTCTAATGGTTCCGCACTTTCACACATGTTTACAAGCCTGACCGAAGTAAGACCTTTAGCTGAGCTATGAGCCAACTTTGGCAAAATGCCAGTGGGACCGCGGGCTTAAAGGGACGCGCGGGCTTTAAAGGGACGGATGCAGTTCGGGACCAGACGCCTCGTCCACCTACCGTCTCCGTGAGCCTAGCGAGCCTTGTCGAAATTGCGATAACTTCCTCATCGCGCGCCATTGATGGATAAAAGCGGGATCATCTTCATCAAGGCGCAGAGGGTTCCAGAAGGCGCGAAGTCATTTTGAAGGCCTCTCGAGCGCGGATACTGTCTTTAAAAGCTGGAAATTGGTAGGTCACAGACGGTCCATAGAGTGCCATGCGGACGGAGAGGGTGCAGAGAAAAGAGAGGAAATCGACAGGGCGTTTGGAAGAATACAAGTTTAAGCTGATCCGCAGACCCGACGATTAGAGGTAGTTGCGAAATTTGAGACAGCCGTGCTCCACCACCAATCACTGGACCCCCTTAATTGCAAATTCAATAATTTAGAGCCTCATTCGATCGTTGAAGCGGTTTAAAAATTATCGATGGACCGACAAGGCAAGCAGCGGCGCGGTGAATGAACTGTGTCGTATGCAAGCTGTTTTCCCATCAAGGACAACCTACCAACGAACGATGCCTATGCCTGCGTTCACTGATGTGTCGTCAGTTATTAGCCCGTCCCCTCCACACGCAGCGGTGGGCTGTGCCGATGGAATAGGGTTGGGCCAATGAGAGGGACGCGGCGCCATCGGTTCGTCATCGCTTTCGCAGCTGGATCGCAAATCGCTGCCTTGGCGGGAGCGGCAGCGCTACTACAGCGCGAGTTCAGAGGGACGCCTTCAAACGTGAACGCGGGACCGCGTGCCTTTAAGTCCGCCAATATGGACACGCGGCTAACATTGCTGGGAGCTGAAATTAACTAAGGAATCTTACGTTGGGTTGTTAGAGCAGGGGCGAAGTCGGACTTGCCAGGAAGGGTTGAAAAGGCGTTATGAACATAGTTACCAAGGTAGTTCGGCCTGGAAAGATTATGAAGCGTGTTAACCGTTTCAGGTGTAAATTTTACAAATCTCAACCTTATTCACCAGGGCACATGGCGTTGTTGGGGATTCCCAGCGGGATGGGGGGGGTTCGCAGCAGCGAAATCTTTGGTTCGGACAGCGAAATTTTCGGAAAAACTGGGAACATTGTCGGGAAATCCTGGAAAAAGCGGTAGGAATACGGAAAATGTGAGAAAGTGGTTGGTGAGTAGGATAGTGTGGGAAGGGGAGTCGTATCAGAGGGTGTCGCATCAAGCCACCTCCTAGAGGGGGGTCGTGCCTATCCCTTAAAAAAGGGTCGACCGAAATTCCCAACCAGTTTATGTGCCCTGTGCTCACCCTATCTCTTTCTCGACCAGGGCTTAGGGTCATTATGGGAATCCTCTAAAGGAGGGGGTCGTATTTGGTCGCTGGGGAGGAGGGAGGGGTCGTATTCGTATTAGAGAAAATTTTTCATCATTGATTTTTTTTGTATTCACGCGCGCTATCCACATAGTTGAAGAGGTTACCATCTGGGGGGGAGGGGGGGGGGGAGGGGGATGCGTTGTTTGGCTGCATTGCTGAAATCTGAGGAAGTGGGGATAGTGTTCCAGCCTTGGCCAAAATTTGTTCCATCTGGAGTGTGTATTTGTGTATTAACAATGTGAAACTCCAAAAGTTTATTCCAAAAAACTCAAAAGACAGAAGTCTCAAAAGTTTTTTTCAAAATATATCTTATCTGGCTATATTTCGGTGCGTGCACCTTCTTCAGGCGCGAGATATCCTGGCAAATTCTCAAAAAAATTTTTCCGTTCACGAGAACTTTTTTGGCGTCAAGCGTTAGGGAAACGATCATGCCATGTTGGGGATACCACAACATGGCATGATAGGAGGGGGGGGGGTCCTATTTGGTCTGAGGAACTTTTATTGATAGTTGATTTTTCTTGTTTCACGGTCGATATGAAGAGGGTGGGTCGTATTTGCTTGTTGTTGAGAGGGGGAGGGGTCGTATTTGTTACCTGGCCTTCCGAGAAAGGTTAATTTTTTTCGTGTTCTTTCCTGTTTCATATGTACTGTAATGCCCTTTCCACTTCGAAGCTCGATGGGGAGGCAAACTACTGGGATAGGTCGTATCTAGTGCCACTCGTTTTAAGGGGGGAGGGTCGACTCGTTAAATCCACAATGTGCGATGCCGGTGATGATGTGCCTATCCTTGACAGCTTAGGAAGCCGAGGATAACGAGTGGAGTGATGGTGCGTTTAGGTCCGCAGGCAGGTGGAAGAGGGATGAGGCAGGTTTGCTGATGCTCGAATTTGTCGCAGCCGCATTTTAGGGTTTTGTCGGTAACCCCCCAGATGAAGCCTATCCCTATGAAAGGCTGGAACGTGGACCGGCTTCATCTGTTCCCTGATGGGAGAAGATTCAAAACTTTCCTTTCTCTATGCTCCGTACAGGGTTATCAACTCTCGTCGAATAACTAATGAGACCGTCCGCTCATGTTAAAAGGACGAGCACGCCGCGCTCGAGTAGTACATGGTCGCCCTTCCTTGTGCAAGTAGTACAGCCCCAAGCTAGAGACTGTCCCACTCTATTCGTCTGCACAGCGAGCGAGAAGCGAGCTACAGCCGCTGTAAGTTCTAGTTCTAACGCCTGCTCAGTTGGACCGCCTTACTTGCTAGATGTCCTCCGACGGAGGCCACTCAGTTGTTCTTAGTTGGGGCGGCGGGCATTGCTAATGCCCATGATAATTCTGGCTCCCCTGTTATTAAGCAGTTTTACTCGTTGGAGTATATGACAACACGAGTGGCCGCAGATGTTTTGTGATCAAAACCGTCGGACGCACCAAGACGTCGCTACGTAGATCCCCAAAATTCAGACACCGTGTTGATAAAATTCCTTTTTCCTTCCAAGAGTTTTTCCTCTGCGTTTTTGTTGTTTTCTTTTTGTATTCTTTTTTTGCACTGGATGATATCAACTACTGCGAGATGTGATAGAGAGATTTGTGAGCTAGGGGTTGCACAGAGACCGCAGGGAGGTGTGACTGTGAGGGAGCGATTTTGTTTATGTTGTTCTGGAGGACGCTTCTTGCCTGTTTTCTTCTTTGGGAGATTACTTATCAGCTACTGTTTCATAATTGGAAAGCAGCTATCCATGAGACTTTTATCGCGGGAGCTGTCTTAATCCTCACTTGACATGAGGAATTGGTCCACCAGTAGGTTGTCCAATGGTTGTCAGTCTCCGCCCAACCCGTTTATTACAAAATGCGCTTTCAAGAAAGGGTCGGTTTTCGAGAGAGAGGGAGAGGGTGGGAGAGAGAGAGAGGAAAATAGCAGCAGGATGTCGGAGGTTTCTTTCCTCATTGGCGTCGTGACAGAAATGAAAAAGTAACTTACGATATTTTTTTGAATTTCTTTAGGATTTGAGGAAGCCCTGTTTTTGTGAATCTGGAAACTTGCAGTCAAGACTGCTGAAGTGCATTTTTAGGGCAGGGAAGCGCTTGTTAATGATTATCTCTGATCATTGGCAGCGCTACACACATTAACGTTAACTGAATCAGTTACCTTCAACCGTATGATGCTCTCATGGGATGCGCTCTCCGTCCAAAGTGTCAGCTGTTTTTCTTTGCTATCATAGCAGTAAATTCGCTTGTAAGGTAAGTTACAGTCAACAAGGGGATTTTCTGGAGCAGTACTAAACCTTTCGAGTCTTCATTTAGGTGATGATGCAAAGATTGGGTTTCGCTTTGCCCATGGCACTGGCAGTACCTACCACAGTGTTCGTACTCTCGACCACCTGCACATTTCGATCAACAGACTCCTGTCATAATGACCAGCACACTCACGAAAGGTTCCTGCTATCGCTCGTCTAGAAGAACATGCAACTTTTGAAGGCAGTGAGCAGGATGGCTGATGTGAACTGATGGTCACTCCAACGTCATTGATAGAAGGGCTGCGAGCAGGCGTTTGACCACATCCTACACAGCCTTTCCACCCCCAGTGACTCGGCAGCAACCGCCCGCCCCCAGCCATTGTGACCACTGCCTTCAAATAGTCGCAAGCAACGGCTCTCTTAGAGACGAAGTGTGCACTCACCTTTATGGACTCTAGTCCCTGCCGTGCAAATGGGCCCGTAGCTGCAACAGCGTGCCACTTTCTTCGCTCAAAAGTGCAGTACGGGATTGGGGGGGGGGGCTGGTGACGCCTAGGGTGATTTACCGACTCCGCACGGGTAGCACGCCTTCTGCTATAGCGAGATGTGCGCA